CCACCCCTCACTCCTGGTGCCCACAGCAGCCCCCCAGTCCTGGCACAGAGAACCCTGGTGGGCATCACAGGGGGTTTGGGGGGGTTTATTGTCCCCCACCCCTCACTCCTGGTGCCCAGAGCACCCCCCGTGTACCCCCCAGCCCTTGGTGCCCAGAGCAGCCCTCCATGTGCCCCCCAGTCCTGGCACAGAGGAGCCTGGTGGGCACCACAGGGATTTGGGGGGGTTTATTGTCCCCCACCCCTCACTCCCGGTGCCCAGAGCAGCCTTCCATGTACCCCCCAGTCCTTGGTGCCCAGAGCAGCCCCCCGAGTGCCCCCTGTGTTCCCCTCACTCCTGGTGCCCACAGCAGCCCCCCAGTCCTGGCACAGAGGAGCCCGGTGGGCGTCACAGGGGTTTGGGGGTGTTTATTGTCCTCCACCCCTCACTCCCGGTGCCCAGAGCAGCCCTCCATGTGCCCCCCAGTCCTGGCACAGAGGAGCCTGGTGGGCATCACAGGGATTTGGGGGGGTTTATTGTCCCCCACCCCTCACTCCCGGTGCCCAGAGCAGCCCCCGTGTACCCCCCAGTCCTTGGTGCCCAGAGCCGCCCCCTGAGTGCCCCCTGTGTTCCCCTCACTCCTGGTGCCCACAGCAGCCCCCGTGTGCCCCCCAGTCCTGGCACAGAGGAGCCTGGTGGGCATCACAGGGACTTGGGGGGGTTTATTGTCCCCCACCCCTCACTCCTGGTGCCTGGGGCAGCTCCCCATGTGCCCCCCAGTCCTGGCACAGAGGAGCCTGGTGGGCATCACAGGGATTTGGGGGGGTTTATTGTCCCCCACCCCTCACTCCTGGTGCCCAGAACACCCCCCGTGTACCCTCCAGTCCTGGCACAGAGGAGCCTGGTGGGCATCACAGGGACTTGGGGGGGGTTTATTGCCCCCCACCCCTCACCCCCGGTGCCCAGAACACCCCCTTGTGCCCCCCCCACGTGCCCCTCAGTCCCTCGCCAGCCTCTTCACGGCGGGGTTGGGGTACTCGGGGTTCTCGACGGCGCCGGGCCCGAACTTGAGCTCGAGGAAGGCGCGGGCGTTGTTGGGCGCCATGGCCGTGAAGCCGGCGAAGGCCACGGGCACCCGGGGCCGCAGGAAGCTCTCGGGGAACTCCACGTCCTGCGGGTGCCCCAGCCACGTGTCCTTGGTCATGGTCCCGCCGCGGGCGTAGAAGGGCCACAGGTCCACGTGCAGCCGGTTGGCGCGGCTGAAGTGGACGCGGTAGAAGTCGCCCTCGGCCGCCTTCTCCCACAGGAAGCCCTCGGGGTCCTCCACCGGCCGGCCCTCGGCCGCCACGGCCGCCAGCCAGCGGCACTTGCCGGCGTCCTCGCGGTAGATGCCCAGGTCGACGTCGTAGTCCCAGGGGATGATGTCGCCCAGGCGGGCGGCGCCCAGCAGGGACCCCCCTTCCAGCCAGTACCGGACGCCGGCGGCCTCCAGCTCGCGGGCCACGTGCCGGGCGGTCTCGCGCAGCGCCCGCAGGCAGCAGGGCGGCGTCCAGCGCCCGGCCAGCAGGTACTGCGGCGTGCGGGCCTGCACGGTGCCGAAGCAGCGCGGCGTGTCCTTGGCGCAGCCGTGCCAGCGCCGCCGCCCGTCGGGCAGCACCTCCAGCTTGACGCCCACGTCCCGCAGCAGCCGCCGGCGCCGGGCGTCCGCCAGCCCCTCGGCCTTCCAGCGGCTGTGCGGCGAGACCGGCGGGCGGCGGGCGGCCGGGAAGGCGGCGCCGGGCAGCAGGCGCAGGCGCCAGCCGCGCAGGGCGGCCTGCAGGGCCAGGGCGGTGGGCACCGGGCGCGCCAGCGGGAAGGGCAGGGAGAACAGGTCGCGGGCGCGCAGCAGGAGGACGGCGGGGGGACCCTCCAGCGCCGAGCAGCCGCCGCCGCCGCGAGCGTCGGCGTCATTGGCATCGCTGTACCGCGCCGTCCACGCCCGCAGGTCCACGCTCAGCGCCAGGCACCGCGGCGCCCGCGGGCCCACCGGCGCGGCCACCACGCGGGTGCCGTTGTCGCCGGCGGCCTCCAGCGCGTCCCTCATGCGCTCCAGCAGGCCCGGCGCGGCCCGGGCGCCGTCGGGCACCAGCGCCACGTGGCGGGTGCGCACGGCCAGCTCGGGGCGAGGCGGCGGCGGGCGGTCGGGCCGCTGCGGGCGCAGGGGCAGGAGCGCGGCGCCGGCGGGCAGCGGCACGGGCGGGTAGGGCGGCGAGTCGGCCGCCACCAGGACGGGCACGGGCAGGGCGGCGAAGGAGCGGGCGGTGCCCGCCAGGTCGTTGTCGAAGTCGTCGAAGTCGCGCAGCAGGACGGTGACGCCGGGCGCCCCGCGCGGGGGGCGGCACGGGGAGGGCGAGGGGGGCCCCCCGCGCCAGGCGCAGAAGAGGAGCAGGAGGTTGAGGGCGATGCCCGCGGCCAGGGCGGCCTGGCACGGCGTCACCCGCATGGCAACGAGGCCTTTCAGTTAATTAACGAGGCCTTTGGGTTAATTGAGGGGAGGTCCCGTCCTCAGGGGGGTGCTGGCGGTGCGGGCACAGGTGTCACGAGCTGGGGGGTCTCGGAGGGTCGGCGGCAGCGCTGGGGGGGAACGAGGGGTTAATGAGGGGGCTCGTTAATGAGGGGATGTGTTAATGAAGGGATGCCCCCGGCCCCTATAGACTCCATACTCCCCCATAACCCCCACAGCCCCAAACCCCCCTATAGGCCCTACAGACCCCAAATCCTCCTATAACCCCCAAACCCCCCATAGACCCTACAGACCCCAATCCCCCCTATAGCCCCTAATCCCCCCTATAGCCCCAAACCCCCC